AGAACTTGGTCTACAGAAAAACTCATCCATCCTGTAAAGGCGAGAAATTTTCAGATGTATCAGGGACTCATCGTAATATATCATGGCGATTTATGCGCCAAGCATTGCCTATATGTCAAGTAAGGCTTTGTGAAATTGGTGGGACTCTGTTGGTGTGGTTTTGCAGAACGATGCTGATGAACGCTTTCTGCGACACAATTGGCCTGCACCAAGTTATCAAGGGGCATTCTTCGCTGGAGCAGGTCTTTTGTCGTTTTCAAAATATGACCGTTCAATGTGAAAGATCCACGCCAGATAAATTATGCTATACTTAAATGCTCGAGGCCTTTGTCCGTTGGCCATTGGTTATTCATATCTAGTCCGCTAGCTTTTAAGTCGGATCTCACCACATTTGAATGTTTAGGTGTTCCAGGTTGATACTGAAAATTCCTGCTTTCGGAAACTGATGCTGAACACTAGCACGCATGCATTTTCAAACTGTTAAAGATAAGATGGGTTTCCAGCTATTGTAAGGAGTTGACAGTTCCACATCCGTGAGCAGGTTCAGTTGCTCATGTAGTTGGAAAACTGAGACTGACTGCTCATGTAGTTGGAAAACACTGTTGAGACTGACGCGGTCTCACGAACATCGCTGTGTTGCGAATAATACTGTCATGTCAGAATTTATCAAAAGCCATCGAAAAGTCAACATGAATGGCGTCAATAAATGTGGACAAATTTGCTACTATCTAGCCAACACGCGTGGCAAATTGCTCGAAAATCCACAATAGGTATTTCCTAAATTTTAGCCCACTGAAATCAGTGCCAAGTTGACATGTAATTTTGAGATCGGTTTTGGCTGTTTAAGCGGCAATCCTAACCGTGTGGAAGTTGGATGGGGTTCAAACCAGTTTGGAGCTTTTTGAAAACACCGGTTCTTGACGTCTGCCGGGTTGCAAAAAATAATCGACTGCTGACCCCGTTGTATCACAGGCACCTAGTTTGCTTACGCTCCACAGCTGAAGAAAATAGGTTCAGGAAAATTTAAACAATGGCAGGCAGGTAAACGGGTGGTAATAACCAAGACTATATCACATAGTCATCATGAAGTGCTCGGCGAAAAGATGTAGTCCTTTTAGGCGTACTTTCCAAGAGTTACCCTGAGGCTTAAAGAAACTCTTGGGGATTTGCAAGCTTTTTTTCTTAGTACGGAACCTACTGACTGTTATGTTTATCAGAAGTTGTAGGCTTCAATCAGTCTTCGGCTTAAGTAAAATGGAAGGTTCTAGTTCCACTTGTTCTCTGCCCTATTCTGTGGGCAACAGATTTCGGTCGAGATCAAACGTTTGCTATCTATTGGAGTATACGTTGCACCTAAACGCCCTAGTGTTTTGACGTGAATTCGCACGCATTCCACTCTTGAGAAACCAATGCAATCTCACTAAAACTCAAACACATTCTTCGGAATTTCAGCGATACTAAATTCCAGATTAGTTTTGGTTAAGATATCAGAATGAAGGACTAGGTGTTATACATGCTTGGGTATCACTCTGTTGACAATAAGCGGTCCTTGCTACTAATAAGTACTTCAACGACAAGATGTTTATGATGTAGAAAACCGTGCTATTGTGATTGCTTTCTATTGTTCACTGTGGTCGCGCAGAGAGTGCTCCCGCATTGCGGTAGAGAATGGGGTAGTTGGCCTATGGTTTCTGGTTTCAGTGAATCTATGATCACTTAGGACAGCTTCCACTGTTTTAGGAAATCAAAAGGTGATTTGAAGACCCTCGGTCGTTCTCCATACAATAACCTTGGGCTGCAGATGATTCTTCGCTATGATTGCGCACTCGTCCAGTAGATGGGACGCCAGGATAGGTTGTTTAAAGCCCCGGTGGGAAGATAAATAGCATGGTCATCGTCGGGAAGAGTGTTAGAACAAAATATCATATAACTCGGTATCGGCGCAATCAGACTTTTGAGTTCATCGGCCCGACACATTATCTGTTTTGCCAAGATGCGATATGCTCCATTTCGGGGCACTTACGCTCATAGTATGGAGGTCCTCTGATCCGCATGATGTTTCCTTTTGGATACAATTTGTGTTTTTCAAACGTCACACTATCCAAATAATATGACAGTAACTGGAATAACATTTACACAATGCAGCTGTTAGCTACAGTGGGCAGTGTTCCTCAACTCTTCCGTCGGACGTGCGATCTATCTTACGATATTTCCTCTCGAAGTGACTTTCTTCATAAGCTTAACTATGCTCTTCCCAAAGTTGTCATTTGATTCTCTGTCAAATCACGAGTAATGCGATCGGGCGACAGAGTGCACCAAGTGCTTCGGCCAAAACAACTCTTGTTCTCAGTGCTGGTGATGCGTTCTTGGTGATACATTTAATAATTGACCAAACACTAAGGCAGTTCTGCATCCATTCCTATTTTGTGTAAAGCCCTACTTCATGAATTGTGAATGCATCAGGTGTCGTGCAAAAGGGAAAAGATCTCTGGAACTCCGCCTATGACTAGTTCGAATAAGGGACAATCTGGTCGTCTTTTCTGGGTAGGTTGATCAGTTGAGCTCAAGGCATCGAAAAACAGAGACCAAAGTAAAAAGAGAGTTGCAGCAAAGATTACCCGGTTGAACTAGCAACGACTCAGTTGATTGTAGTATCGCACTTTGATCAAACGAACGCAACTACCGGGTATCAAACACCAAACTACAGTTGGTTTGTCAGACGGTGCCCTCATGTTGTATTTATCAAGCGCTTGTCTAAGGCCGATGTGAGACTGACTCAATCCGAATGCAAATACCGCCATTTTCTCCACGGTACAAATGAATTTCCTCACTTGAAGGAAAATGTGTGTTTGGTAGGATAAAGCATGTTTCTATGTAGAATATTCCAGTCATTTAGATGTTCAACTAAATGTGGGATGCTAGATTTTTTTAAGTTGGACCAACTGGGTGAACCATCCATCATGAAGCCCATTCATCCAGTTTCCGAATAATGGATGTGGGAATACCAGATGGTCGGCATTTAAAATAGCTCTGAATCTAAGTGGATTTCCAATGACTGACGGCTCAGGCGAAAGTAATCACTATAAGTAGGAATCAAATTGTGGAATTTTATGAACCAATGACGAAAACCGACTTTGTTCTGTGCAGAGGTCGCACATTCCTTTATTTGACGAACTGTAAATGTATTGCATACCATTTGATAGCCTATATTTCGTCACCGTTTACTTATTGAAATTTTGGTGATGTAACTTTTAATATCAAATTTTCGTAAACAGGCAGTTGGGGTCCAAGTATAAACCATAAGCAATAATCATGATCGGATCTGCAGGACTCTGAGTCAGACACGCTCACACAACAGCTTGGAACGGATGTTCAGAGACCATCAGATTAACTTAATTAAGCGAATCCCCGAATAAAATCAACAAAAGGTTCACAAATGTGAAATGCAACATATGCGCAGAACTAGTTAAATGGGCGTCTACACTCGTCAACCTGTTTGAGCTTGAGAGCCGAGATACAGCAACCGACCGAATCACCCTGATTGAGAATCATCAGCAGTGCGAATCCCAAAAGACTCCATTAGGGGTTTTGAATCCGCCGCCTCGCGACGGTGGAGGAGGACCTCAATCGTTGGACCATTTTGCGGTTGATCGGCAGAATGCTTTAGTGTTCCTTAGACAGAACGTCCTTCATTCTTCAGTAGCTGTGCCAACATCGCTTACTCACACCCATTGACCGGCATCGAGAATCGTGACTTCTCAGATCGACGATTCACTCATTCTCACCTAGGATACTTGAATCTCGTCGAAACCTTATGCGAAGTGTTCTTTGATTCCCATCCACAATTTCCAGTACCAGCTCAACACTTTCCACTCAATAGTTTTAAGCCGAATTCAATGCGGAACCACTGATAGGCGGTCACACTTGTTGAGATCATTGAGGATATATTCACCTTTAAACAATATGCACGCTTCTTGTGAATCTGTATGTGCCACATTGCATTTTCGCGCTGGCTACTCGTTTTTCGACCGGAAGGTTTGGAAATGATTTCGCTATCGGAAATTATCCATTATGTTCAGGTGACTTAAATTGGATTATTCTTAGATTTTCTCGCGCTGGGCCGTGAAAACTGAGTATGACCTCGCACGATAAACGAAATTATCTGACAGCAAGCGAATGTGGTTTTGGGATAATGCTGGTAGTTCAGGTGGCGTAGATGGTGGTTGTTTCGTTCGCTCAGCTGGTTTTCAGCTGATATTTGACTGTTGAATTGGCGCAGCACATTTTCACAAACGAATCTAATTCCAGGATTATCGTAAACATTTCACTGGTGAACAACTGAGTTAGACCTGTTTGAGACTCAAAAATCCACTGCGCGCACGAGTATTCCAAAACTATATGCCATTCGTGTCCCCAAGTTTCATTTGAATCATGATGGACTGGGCCGAGTTCCGGGTGAGGCTGCAAGATTGTTCACACATGAGTGCGTACGTCAGGTTCCGTCACACTGTTGATGGAATCCTTGGAATGGCACCATCCTACCTGGTGAGATCCAAGATGACCAAAACCCTCCGCTGGCTGTCAAATAGAGAGTTTTCCAGGATAACAACAATGGAATGCCCTTCAACAAAACTGTCATGAACAAATAAATCCAGACATTAATTGCAAAATATTATTTTCTAGTGTCACACTGCTGCAGCTACCCGTCATCTGTAGAAATGCTTTCTCCACCAGCATTTAAATGCAGTGTTTCAATTGTCTTCCTATTTGAAACAGATAGATTATTCAACATATCAGCAGAAGAAATTGCAAGCCGACGGCTTCTTGCAATCAGGGTATCTCTTGATCTACCTGAACGAAGAGGATTTTTCAGGAAATCTGGTGCAAAGGCATCATAATGAGTTTGGAAGTAGGTGAATTTCCAGAATACACTTGTGTGATATCAGTCGACCGCGTTTCGTACTAAATCAGGTTTGCGCCAGATAATCTAAATCAGTTTCCTTACTGCTTAATATACGTTGAATATGTGGCACAGTCAATTCCGTTGTTACATCACAATCAATCACTCATGTTCGCCGAGATTGGCAGTTGGATTGCAAACGTTTCATCACCAATCGAGGTGACATCGTCATTGCAGGGTTGACGATGACACTAACGATGTCAACTGGATTGGTGATGAAACGTTTACAATCAAACTGCCAAGCTTGGCGAACAGACCAACAACGAAACGGTTTGACAATTATATTGACACATTACATGCATGTATAAGATGCGTCGCATTTAGTGGACAGGAAGTAAGATCAACCAATGAATTTTACTCCTTATTTTGATACTTTGATATCCTATTCACGAGAAAGATCAGATGAAACGGCTTGCGATTCTCCCCTGGTAGGAATTAACCACGAGGAAAAGGCGATGCCATCTACCGACCTCATCATAATCACCGTCATCATCAGCATGACATCAGTGTTCACCACTGGGGCTTCGCTGCTCTACAACAATGAGTTGCAAAGATGAATGCCACAAAGCATCCGACCTGCGATTCTATCACAGAAAA